TTCCGTCTTTTTCTGTTTTTGCCTTCACCCCCTCGCTGCTCAGTTGCCACATCCCCGCCAGCGAGCCCCGCAGCCGTGGTCTATGCCGTCTATGCCGCCACCGCAGCCCCCCCGCGCAGGGCAGTCAAGCGAACGAAAACAAACAAACAAAGAAAACACAACAACAACAAACAAACAAACAAACACCACGCGGTAGGAAGACGGAATGGAAACCACCACAAGAGAGAGAGACGCCCACACCTCCATCCTATCACCACCACCAACAACAGCAATAATAAAGATGTCCGTCTCGGCCATTCCCCCCACCCCTCCTCGTGCGCGGCTAGCTGAGCACAGCCGTGCCGCACAGCTTTGCCCTCGTGCCGTGTGCTGTTGCCTGCCGCCGAGACAAGCAAATAAACAACTCCTCTTCTCGCCGTTATCGCCGCGTGCTCCATGAAGCACACCTCACGTATCCTACTGACTGTCTAAATAAGTGCCGCGTGACGGGTTTTCTACCACCGTCGTTCGGTTTATCGCTGCTGCTGTTGTTGTTGTTTGCCGTTGCGCCCTTTCTCTCTCTCTCTCTGTCTCCCTCTGCCACTCCATTTTCATCTCATTCCTTTCCCTATCACTCCCCGTTGTCTCTCTCGCCGGTAGTTTGTTGACGTTATTCTCACTGCGAGGTGGGCATAAGGTCCCCCGCGTAGAATCCCTCCTGCGCGTCGAGTGAGGGATTCTCGTCCTGCTGCAGCAGCGGCTCCACCTTGGCGTCGTGGTTGGGCAGGCAGAAGAAGACGACGCTGCAGCGGCTCTGCCCGCCCTTCACATTGCGCACACGATGCGGCGTGGCCTCCAGCAGTCCGCCGGTCCACTTCTCGAGGAAAAGACCCGCATTGACAAGCAGCGCGTCGTTGAGCACCGGCACCGCGACGTACTTCTCCTCCTCATCGTCCCACACCTCGAGGCCACCGAGGGCATCCTGCGCTAGGAGGGTGACGGTGCTCAGGTCCTTGTGTGTGTCGAGTCGCAGCGTCACGTCGCCCTCCGCGTCGCCGTCCTGCACGTGCGGCTGCGCGACGGCGCCTTTGCGCCGCAACACCTTCGCACCGCGCGGATTCGACGCGGAGTGCGCATTGGTGATCTCCACGCCATTCCGCGCGCGCACCGCCTGCCCCAGCTGCGGGTAGTACTTCGCCTGCAGATCGAAGTCGAGCCGGCCGTGAAACGGCGTGAAGAAGTCGAGGTCGTAGCCACTCGCGGGGTCGGGGCCGCCCTGCGGGATCGTCGGCCGCACGCCGAGGCCGCAGCTGATGTGCCGCAGCACGTCGAGCGACACCTCCACGCAGAGGTCGTAGTACGCCATCATCATCTCGCGGTAGTCGGCCATGAAGCAGTCGGCGCCGCCGCCCTCGCCGCGGCCGTTCGGGTGGTTGAGCAGCACATGCCACGGGTTCTGCCGGCTAATGAGCGGCTTGTACTCCTCCTCGTTCCACCCGCTCNGCTTGTAGTACGGCTCGCGCAACTCCGCCGGGTTGGGCACCTCGCGGCCAACCGAGAAGCACTCAATCGCGTCGTCGATTCCGCTCGCACCCACATAGCGGTAGTGCCCGCGAAAGCCAGAGGGTGTCTTGATGCTCTCCAGTTCGTATGGGGACAAGGGCACGACGGCCCGCGGCGGGCTCGTCTGCTTCGCCGCTACCGCTGGTGCTGGTGGCGGGAGATCCAGAAGATAGCGCTCAAAAAAGATGCGGCTGTCGCGGTGGAGCTGATCCAAAATCTCCTTCTGGATAAACGGGTGCTGCACGTAGCAGTAGCCGTGGAGCTGAAGGGACTCCAGCAGCGCGTTGCTAGCGGTCTCCGTCACGTTCTCCGCACCACGGCCTATTTTGACGAGGGTTGAAAGGCGACAGAACGTACGACGCATCGTTTCAGCCGGGGAATGATTTTTTTTTTTGCTGTGTGTGCGTGTGAGTAAGTATGTGTTTACGTCCTCTCACCGTTAAACTGCCACTCTTGTCTGTGCGCTCTCGCGGGGAGGAAAGTGAGAGAGAGACAGAACACCAACAAAAAAAGAAACAAAGAGATCATGTGGATATTTATATATATATATACTCGTACATAAATAAATAGCTTATACATATATATATATATATATATACACACATATATTGCGTGTGAGAGACAAGATATGCGCGTCCCCTTTTCTCCCTTTGCGCGACTCTGCGCAACGACTCCTCCCCTCCCACAGTACCACAAGATAAAGGGCGTAGGCATGTGGGTGGGTGTGTGTGCGTGTGACAGCAGGAGGTGATGGGGGGGCACTAACAACAACAACAACAATAACAACCTACACGTTCCAAGTACGAAGCCTCCTCTGCACTTACATAGATGGGTACGTGCCACCCGAGAAGAAGCAAAAAGAGTATAAAACATTCATACACGACACGGCTCACTCAAGCACATACACACAACGCCGCCAAGAAGGGGAACACGAGGGATGACACACGAACAAAAGCCCATTTTTGCGTGGCGCTGTTCTGGCGTTAGGCCATGGGCCCATCGAGCAGCTGGGCGTGATACTCCGCGAGGTCGTGCTCCACCCTTGCCATGATGCGCTCCTGCTCGTCCAGCATCTGATCGTAGTCAACAATGGACTCGTAGAAGGCGCGCTGGCACTTTGGCGGCAGCGGCAGCGAGTCCTCACGCGCCTCATAGCGGCGTAGCAGCTCAGCGCCCTCCTCTCCTCCCAAGGCGCTGGCCAACTCCCCCAGCAACGCTCGCCACCGCCGCGAGNTAGCGGCGTAGCAGCTCAGCGCCCTCCTCTCCTCCCAAGGCGCTGGCCAACTCCCCCAGCAACGCTCGCCACCGCCGCGAGTAGAAGTGGTAGTTGTGTAGCGCCTCCACTCTGCGCTCGTCGAGGAGTCGGCTCGGCAGCACGCGGCTCGTCTCAGTGGGCTCGTCCATGTCCCAGTACGCGTACCCGTCCAGGGCGTCACGCTCACGCAGGTCGCCGTTTGGAAGGGACACGACGGTAAAGCGCGGTGGATTTTCTGCCGAGGCACCGGTCCACTGAGGTTGCAGCATCTGCTGCAGTGATGCCCCGCTCTCACCTCTCTGGAAGGCAAGTAAAGCACCGCTCATATACGCGTCGCTGCGATTGGTGTCCTTCGATACGGCGATTGACGGTCGCACGACGTCCATTCGTCCCTTGTGTGGTCGTGCAGCAATGACGTTGTCGCCGCCGAAATTGTTCATCAAGTGAGGGGGGAGGTCTGGCGGTGGGCATTTGAAGTGCTTCGCTGTGTCCTCCGCGTAGTGGTCAAAGCTCGCGGCGGTATTCCGCAGCTCCTCGTCGTTGCGCATCAGTAGCTCCCTGAAGTAGGCCCGGAACCCCACNTTGCCTGTGACGGACGGCGGCAACGGCGCTAATGATGACGTCATTGGCGTGCTGATGTCGTGTCCCGTTTCTTGCAATGACGGTTGCTGTTGTTGCTCCTCGCCTTGATATTGCTCGTGTATCTTCTCTTGCGGTGGATCCACCTCTGACTCAGCCAACGAGTTGCGCTCCTTCAGCGACTCAGCGGCCGGGCTGTGCGGGTCGAGCTCGATGTCCGGCAGGCACTGGGCGCGAGCCATGCGAGGAGCGGCAGTGCACTTTATGTGCTTCAAGTGCTGTCCCGTTTCCTCCGTATATCGTTTGAATTCCGCCGAAGCTTGCAGCAACTCTTCGCCACGGCGCAGCAGCATCTCCTTGTAGTAGCCGTGCGCGTGCTTTAATTGTTGACGAGGGGCAGGAAGCGTGGGTGGCTGTTCCTCCTGCTGTTCAGCCTCTTCCTCGCAAAAAGAGGTGCGGCTCCTCTGCCCCTGCCCTGATGGGGGCGGCGACGTGAGCTCGACGGCGCACAGACGGCGCATGTCAACCGGACGGGGAAGCTCGCGGCTCCCACTTCTGCTGTTTTCGTTGTTGCTGTTGCTGTCGCCTCCCTCCTGCGTTTTGAGCTTGACATCGACGTCGGTGGCATCGTTGAAACCCGGCGTTTGCGCCATTGATGATACAAGAAGAGACCACTGCTCACCTTTCCTTCCTCGCCACTTGGCAGGCCTGCAAAGACACGGACGCGAACGACAAACAAGAACAAATGCAGCAAAATACAAAAAGGGAAAAGAACAGCGGGGAAGCCAACACCAAGTGGGAAACGGGAGAAGATATCAAAACGGAACAGCCGTACGAGGTGTAAAGAAATGTGTGGCAAAACGTGCCCGTATGGAACAGATAGATAGACAGCTAAATAGATAAAATTTGCGCGACCCCGCACACGCACACGCACCACACACCGGCGGTTCATTTTTGTGATTTCCTCTTCCCCCAACAGACACATTACACACACAGACATGTATATATATATATATATGTGTGTGTGTACGTGGATGTGTGCATGTATATGTATAGGCACGCATGCACGCACGTACGTATGCGGGGGACTCTGAGAATCGAGTGGTCTGTCCATCCGACCGTCCATGCACGCAGGTACGCCACGCAATGGACGTTCCATGCCACTGCGAGACTCCCCACTCACCAGCGCCGCATCACGTACGTGTTCCAATACTCCTTCGCCATCTGCGTGTAGTTGATCTTCGCCATCTCGAGGAATCCCATCTTGTGCAGGTTCAGCCGCGGCTTAGCCTCAGGGAAGCGCCGCCGCGCCCCATCAGCGGCCAGGAAGCGGAGCATTGTCAGGCTGCGCTCGCAGCTCTGCACGGCAACGGCAATCAGCTCCGGGTCACGCAGCTCTGCGCCCTCGCGGAACTTCTGCCGAATGATGATGACAAAGCGCTCGTTCATCTGCGCGTGCTCGTTCAGCTCACACAGCGCAGATGGAGGGCAGAGGACAGCGAGCTTCAGCCACTGTCGGTACGCGCGGCACACACGGTACGCGTGGGGGATGCCGGGAAGGTTGGTGCCCGCCTGCTTAATAACGTCCGCGGGGGCTCCTGCTGCTGCGAGGGCCCGGCCGCGCGCCACATCGCGACACGCACTGCTGGCCTGCAGCGCCGCCAGCGACGATGTTCTCCGCATCAATCACACTCCCACACACACACACACAGAGTGAGAGACACTACTATATTTATATATTTATATATATGTATGATCTATTACCCCACTGCGGCCACACACAGAATCCTTCTCCCTCCCCCCCACACACACAGACGAGTTGACATGTACACATCGCAACAACAGTGAGAAGAGACGAGGGGCAGATGGGGGCGTGCACAGAAACACAGAGAGAATAATGCGCATGCAACACTCGCGTCGCACGCGAGAGACTTCATAAACACCGCAGCCCCCCCCCAAAAAAAAGGAGGTGCGGGTGTGCCTTAGTGTGGAAGCAATGGTGCCACAGCATTAGTCGTAGTAGCTGGTTGATCACATATATGTATATCACTTACATCTGCTACTGTAGTGCCTTTTTTCTTTCAATACTTCCCTCCTTCCCTCTTTTTTTTCTTTCTGTTCATTTTTTAAAAAGAAAAACTCTCGTCGTTCTCCTCAGTCACCGTCGAACTTTAAAAAAAAAAA